ATATTTATTCACCCAAACCATATTTGGTATCAATGTTATACCTAACAACCACTTCTGAAATTTTGCCAAGAAAATTGTAAGGATTTGTCCAAACAGTCCTCAGAACTCAAGGTTCACTTGAAGGTGTGTGTGTGTGCGCGCACACACACACGCACATGCGCGCACGCACACAAAGAGTCCTCCCTTCTCCGGTCCTATTTTACTTGATCCTGTTAATTTTCATTATGCTTTTGGCCACAAAATGTAAGGCCTCTTCCCCTCCACAGAAAAACAGATTGTTAACTCAAGGACTGTTTTGAGCATCATGTTGACAATAGAGTACTACAGCGCAGTGGTGGGATTCAAATTTTTTAACAACCGGTTCTGTGGACGTGGCTTGGTGGTCATGTTATTGGCTGGGCGTGGCCAACTCAATATCACTCACATCGAGGCACGCATCTCCTCGCCTAGCGTCTCATGACTGTGGGGATGCTGCAACAGTCAAATAATGTGAAAAATGGTCATAAGTCACTTTTTTCAGTACGATTGTAACTTTGAATGGTCACTCCACACAAGCAAAGTACCAGCAAAGGAGGGGAAAAAAACACTCCAGAGAAGTTCCTGAGACAGGAAGTCTAGTCCTGCCAAGAGCGTAATAAGGGTTAACGGAGAGGCAGTTTCTGTAAGCAACACCAGAATGTTTCCTTCCTGCCTTCCTTACAGGATTAGGCCAGTAATTTCTTCTAACAACCAGTTCTCCAAACTGCTTCAAATGTTAACAACCGGTTCTAGCGAATAGGTGCGAACCTGTAGAATCCCACAGGGTCACAAATCTGATAAAGCTGAGAGGAGAGAGAGAGAGAGAGAGAGAGAGAGAGAGAGTCCCTCAGTTTCCAAACTTTGTTCCACCTCACCTATAGGCCCATGGAGACAAACTCCTCTTGTTCGACATCCAGAGTCTCAGATTGACCTGGCATTTACTGTCCAGCAGCTCGGAGCTATTTCGCAGCTGGTTAACCATCTCCTGAATGCTCTGCTCATAATCCTCCACGAAGGTGTAGTTGGTGAGGGCCCCCAGATTTACCCTCAGCACAGGGTCAGGCGAGGATTCCTGTGCCCGCAGATGCTGTTCCCTGACTTTGGCTGAGCCTCTCCTTCTTCCTTTTTTTCCTCTGCTTTGCTCTTTTGATGCAGGGGTAGCATCCAGGGCCAAGAAGAGGCAGAGAGCACAGAAAAGCAACTGGAGAAGAAAACAGGCAAACTTTATCCATTCATTTGCATGAACACAGGTTCTATAAATACAGCATCGTATGATGGTTTTCAAATGAAACAGAAACCCCAGCAAAGATCAAAGAACAATATTCAGACCAACACAGAATAAGGTACAGTAGCAAACAAAGAAGTAGATCCGATGTTCAAAACATAACAAAATATAAATATCAGCCTGGAACATCCTCCCAATAAACGTTTGATAGTAATCTAAAAGTTGGTGATTCATTCAGGATTTTTTAATGAGTTTCAGGACTTGAATGGCAGCTGGATTTCTCCTTAGTGAAAGACTATCTCTGATAGGGCTGGCAGCTTAACCAGGGTCCAGGGTTCAGAGATGCTTTGCTCAAAAATCTGTTTGCTTGTTTGCTTGTTTGCTTGTTTGCTTGTTTGTTTGTTTGTTTGCTTGCTTGCTTGCTTGCTTGCTTGTGTGCGTGAAAAGAGTGGAAAATGCCTGACTATAATTTATATATCTCATCCAGAGGTTTCCTATTTGATTGATTTAGAACATTCCCATGTTTTCCAAGTTCAAGTATTTTCTCTCAAGGCTCCTCTACAGGAAACAATGAGATAAGCCCTGTTCCTTGTTGCTTCCCACCCCTTTCTATGGCTACAAAAGAAGGTCATAGTGAATGCTATCTATCACACAATCCCCACAGATACGTATTTAAAAAGAAAAAGAAAAAATGCCATAGAAAGCCATTGAAGCAACCCTTTATCGGAATAATTATGCTTTTCGTCATTTAGAATAACAGAGTTGGAAAGGACCTTGGAGGTCTTCTAGTCCAACCCCCTGACTAGGCAAGAAACCCTACACCACTTTAGACAAATGGTTGTCCAATCTCTTCTTAAAAACTTCCAGTGTTGGAGCATTCACAATTTATGGAGGCAAGTTGTTGCACTGGTTAATTGTTCTAACTGTCAGGAAATTTCTCCTTAGTTCTAAATTGCTTCTCTCCTTGATTAGTTTCCACCCATTGCTTCTTGTCTTGCCCTCAGGTGCTTTGGAGAATAGCTTGACTCCCCCTTCTTTGTGGCAGCCCCTGAGATATTGGAACCACTGCTATCATGCCACCCCCAGTCCTTATTTTCATCAAACTAGACATGCCCAGTTCCTGTAACCGTTCTTCATATGTTTTAGCCTCCAGTCCCCTAATCATATTTGTTGCTCTCCTCTGCACTCTTTCTAGAGTCTCAGCTGTTTCTATGCTCAGATATTTTTTTGTTGTTGTTAAGCATTTCTGTTGCTAAAATTCTAGTGGAAACTCAGGGAAAAGAATTTGGCTTTTTATCATTTCAAGCACATTGCTAACGTATCAGCTACTCCCAGTTTGGGAGCCTCCAGATGTGACTGGAGTTAGAGAATTTCCCAGCAAGAAGAAAAAGAGAATTGCTGATCTAAACACATCTGGAGGCCTCTGGGATAAGCGCACTGCCCCCCTCACCTCTCCAACCCATTCCACGCTATCCCTTGTCATCATTTCTAGCACCGCTAATAAAAGAAAAGCCAGCGCGCAATGCCAGGAAGCCTGCGTTTTCCTGGCAAACTGCTTCTCTACATGCATCTGTTTGGGTTGCTGGGCCAGATGTGGATCTTAAGCACACCCAGTGAAGGCAGCCGTTCCAGTGTGCCAGCAATTGTCTCTCTCTTTTTTTGGACCCTGTCTCTCCCCCCCCCCCATCCTATCGCAGGGGAGCTTCATCCTCTGATTTTTGTCTCTGTCTGGGTGGCTGGATTTTGTCTCCCCCACTTTAACAGGCTCTAAAAGCAATCGCTCACCCAGACACAGTTTATCCTTTCCAAAGCAAACAAGCCTGACAGGTCATTAATTAGCAGAAAGTAAATAGAGGCTCCAGGAGGGCCAAGCACCTACCAGCTTGGGAGCCCACTCCATCTCCGCTTGAGGGTGGGTAAGCCAAGGCTCCACAGATGCCTCCCTCTGCCGCAGAATGAAGCCAAGGAGATGGGGCCGGGCGCTTTAAGAAGGAAAGCAGCAACCCTTAATCTCTTCATCGCCAGGGAGGTGGGCCTGCCTGGCACCAAGACATTTTCCCAGGATGCCAGCAAGGATGTTGACAGAAGGGACGAGCTGGTTTCCCTGGGATCAGAACAACAGGCTAGCCATAGGACTGGCCTGCTTGATAGACTGGAGTGGAGTGGAATGGAATGGAGTGGGGGGGAGCATTAAGTAAATTATTGTGAAGGCAGTTTTCCCTTATGGTGGAGGAAAGGCCGGATATTGTCTAACTGTAGCGATAGGATTTCCAGAATTGCTCAGAAGCGAAAGACAAAGTTAGATCTTGGCCTTGGAGAGCAGGGGAAAGAAGAACATCTGTTGACAGGAGGCTTAGTTTGTGTCTTAAGATCCTGAATGGCCCAGCAAGTCAATACCGGGCTTGTGCAGCTCCTGGAAAGTGGCAGAGTTAAGCCGTTAGCATAACCAGAGCCCTGGGTGGTACCTTGGAGCAGTGCAAAGGCGAGTTAGGGACATGATGAAAATGGAAGGGCTGCCCTTACTTGAATGGGTGGTGAGTTTAAAAAGCAGAAATTGGAAAGCAAGGGGACAACTCTTCTATTTATTGGGTGCTAGGTCTAAATTTTTTTTTTCCTCTGTAAAGAGGCAACTGGGTATATTTCTTTATAGAATTGCTCCAGAAGAAATAACGAAAGGGTCTGAATGAAAGAGAGATCATACAAAAAAAGGGAAAAATGTGTTTCAATCTGTAGAATGAAAAATGTGATTCTGCATAAACCTGGGCTTTGAATGGACAAAGATGGACCAAATATATATTTGCCTGCATCTATCCTTTTTAGGAAAGAGAAAATTAGTAGGTAAAATTCATTGCCTAAGTTTAGTTTAATTTAAATCCCATTTCATTTAGTTTCCAGCAAGGTTTCTAAATGCCAAACTAACCGACAGTCTAATAGATTAAGAGAGGCATCTTGCATTCTTGTCATACCCTAGGAATTCTCAGCGAGGCACTTTCTCATGCTATCAACTGTAGACATTTTTTTCTGCAAATAAAAAAAAGCAACACTAAGAAATACTAGAGGTGAGAAATGGCCAATTATTTGAACACCAAGAAAACTATATAAGTAAGGCAAGTTTATATGAAATTCAGTTACAAATTCTATTACAATTCAATAAGTTTAAGGAACATATTATAGGCATTTTAAATAACAGTTAAATGCCAGAACATTAACTAAAATATCTATCTTATTGTAGATTTTATCTTATTTGTTGGTAACTTTTTTTTTTCAAAATTTGTATTCTTTGACCTGTGTTTCCTATTTATGAGACAAAAATATATACTGGCATTGTTTGAAAAGCTAAAGTAACCAGGAGGTTATTAAAAAATAGCTTGGAAAAAGAAAATATAATATGTTCTGCTTTCCTTCTGTGTACAGCTCTCAGTTATTTTTTTTCTTCACTCCTTTGCTCCCAAAATTGAGGGAAGAAAGTGCTTGCAACTCCTGTGCCAAATACTGCGAACTAAATAAAAACAATCATTTTTGTTGTTGTATTTCAAATATTTGTCTATGAGGGGCATCAGTAAGGGTGGTTGCCAAAAAAAAACCAAGTTGTTTGCTGTAAAGGGTATGGGTGGGACTTCAGTTACATGGTTGTAGCTCCCATTTTGACTTTTTTTTCTTGACCCAAACCTGCCCATGGATGTTCCTGTTGTCCACACAAGTTAAGAAATCGCTATGATTTGGATTTCCTGGCAAGAGTTTGTGCATCTGTATTTTGTTGTATCAATATATGCAGTGGTGGGATTCAATTTTTTTTACTACCACTTCTGTGGGCGTGGCTTGGTGGGCGTGGCATGGCATGGTGGGTGTTGCTTGGTGGGTGTGGCAGGGGAAGGAGACTGTAAAATCGGACAAACTTCTTTATATTCTGTGCTCTTTTTTTTTTTTTTGCATTACCTCTAGTTCATGAGCATGGTTGTTTAGTTCTTGGTTTTTTAACTGCTTCTGAAATCAACTTGTTACTTCAATTGATTGTTCATTTCATCATTTTGTTCTACTGTTTTTGATATCTGTAACGGAATCCTAAAAAGGACCAGACAAATGATTTTATCTATTCAGTGGCCTATAATGGTGCATGAGTTCTACCAACTCAAGAAATGAGTATACCTTTGCTGCCAGAAGTTTGACTCCTGGAATACAGATGATCTTAGGATTTGAAACCATCTATAACAGGGGTGTCAAACTCAATTTATTGAGGGCCACATCAGGGTTCTGTTTGGCCTTGGAGGACCAAGGTGGGCGTGGCCAGGGTGGGTGTGGCCAGCATGACCTTACTTGTGTTGGGGGCTGCCTGTGGCGGCCCAAGTGCTCTGCCAGCGAAAATGGCCTCCTGAGCTCTATTTTTGGCTGTGATGGCCTCCTGCAACACTCTGCCAGTGAAAACGGTCCGGATCCGACACCCGGGCCTTGAGTTTGACACCCCTGACCTATAAGGATGAATCTGTCTGCTTGAGAATCTCAGTGTACTCCCATTCTGACTGGAAAAGCTCTTGAGAAGGAGGTCTCTTGGGCATTTTTCCAGGCTTGAATCAATTCGACCATCTATTTAGTCACCTTTGCAGCTTATTTTAAAACAAAACAAAACACTGGCATTAAATATATTAAAAGAGCTGGATACACCCGGAGATGTCTACACTGTTCCAATTCCAAAAGCTATCCCCTTATCTTTCACGCCATCCATTAAATGTAAATTAGGCTTACTGTGCTGCTTTTAGATTCAGGTTTGCAAGACAGCAAAGGCTTATTTTGAGAAAGACTTGCTGTGAACCATTTACCAAATCTCTGTTTAGTATCTTAGCTGAATTGCCCTATATAGTGAAGACAAGTCATGGGGGAGCATGAATAGTCCCTCTGCTGTTACTTTTTCCCTTAATGCTGTGATAAGAGATACTTAAGCTTAGTGGCGAATGATGATGCATAGAGAATTATTCTCCTTTTTTAATCCGGGACCTATTAGGAAGAACAGTTACCTGTAAGGACAGCATACATATTATGACCTGGACTTTAAAACTTCTGGATCAATATAGGATTTACTCCATTATGAACAAGTTCTGACATATTTATCAAATCTGCTTCTTTAATAGGCCTGTGCGTGTCATTGTCATTTCCCATATCCCACATTGTCCTTTAACCAAGATTTAATGTTGACCTAAGATTTAATCATGTAAACTCAGAACAGCTGCAGTTTTCTATAAACTGGTCTATAAAACACAGATTACTGATGGCTTTCAGTTTCTAGTAACTGCTAACCAGAAACAGCAGCTGCTCTGGAGTTAGCATGGCAAGTGACCCTTAAATAAATCTGAGACCTGGATTAAAGAGCTTTATGGAATGAGTAAGACTGCAGTGTGTTCAGTTCCGATAACCAAGCAAGCAAGATTTAGGCTTCCACGAAAACACCATCCATGTTTCCATTGACTCAACATTAAACATTTCAACAGGCAAAATATCGCTATCCTAACTTAACTTGTATTTCTCTTGCAAAAATTGCTTGCACTCCCAACCTTCTTTAGTAAATGACTGGGGATGCGTAATTTATAATTTAATCCCATAGTCAGATTTCTCAAACTGGTGCTCTCCAGATGTAATGGACCCACTTCCCTTAGCCAAGATGGTAATTGGGCTCTGGACAATAAAACTCATACTTTGTGGGTATCTAGTTGGCGAAGGTTGCTGAACACAAAAGTGGGCATTTGTAGTTTCCATAATGTACTGGCACACCTGCTTGGCCATCGTTTGTATTCAGCCTTCTGCCAAACAGCTCCATCTGTAATTTGCAACAGAACTGTTTAGTAATTAATTAATGTTCTGAAATCTATAATTAAACAATCAAGCAATGTATTAAGCGGAGCCCTGAAATCAGGATTCCTCCTTTCCTCTTGAATAACTAAGATGTTGTTGTTGTTTATTAGGCCCAAGCAAATCACGGGGGTGGCCACATTTCCCACTACTGCAGTCTGCATACCAAAAACCTCCATAGGGGCCGGAGCCACAAGGCACATACACAGTCAAAGAAAACAAGTCAAGAATGTTCACAAATGTGTTTATTTTAAAAAATAGCCAATTATATTTGCCAACGCTCAGGTTTTCCCCTCCATCGGGCACACACAAGATTCCTCTCTTTTGGTCTCACGTATCCTCCAGGTGAAGCTTGCAACCTAGCCAGCCTGACAGCAACCCATCCATATTTGGCTGCTTTCCAAGCACAGCTTCAATTATTGGTAACAGACACTTTTACATTGGCTAGAAATATATTTTAAATGCTCCAATGGTAGCCTGGGATTCGTGTTATTCTTTTTGTCAATATCTTTGGTTTGGATAGTGCAGGGAACAGGGTGATGGAGCAGTATTCTAACAATCAATCTCTCTGTCTTATGTACAGTTTAGCAAGTGAGAAGCTGATTAGCTTTAGTGAAGATGCAGACAATCTAACGCCAGCAGGACTTGATCCTGTACATTAATTTTTAAAAACAGATGATATAATACTTATGCAGATTGTCACCGTTGTGTGCTGGTCAAGTTACAAATTAGTTGCCTGGCTGGGCTTCTGCAGAAAAAAAAAGGAACTGGATTTTGTTCACCTTTCTTTCTCTACCATATTTTTCTTGGAATAAGTACCACTTAACAGAATGCATTTTTAAGGAAGGACCCTTTGCAGCAGGCAGCCATTCTGAAGGCGTTAATTCCTCCTTTTGAATCTGGGCAGCTGGATGATGGCAACTATTTATATCTGTTTACCTGACCAGGCAGCCTATTGCACAGAAGTCCTCAAATGAGGAAGCAGTGGACCTTGAAGCAGCTCCCATTGGAGTCAGTGGGCACTGCTGTGCAAGGGGATGCCATCCTCTAATGATCCGGACTGCACATTCCTATCGTGCAATGAGATCTGATTAATAC